CTCTCTCTCTCTCTCTCTCTCTCTCTCACACAGTTTCGCAAAAAATATTTCTTGAACTGTGTCTCAAAAAGCACAGGGGAAGCTTCAAACTGAAGGGTCTATACGAGTTCGACACTTCGGATACGTCCGTAACACGAAATGTTGTGGGTGACTATACGGTGCTTGTCTTTTCCATCTCTCAGCCCTCTGGCGTGCTAATATGTCATTTCTTGCGGGCTTCCTCTCTGTCAATCTCCTGTGATCTCGGATATATCCGAACTTCGTTTATCTGGGAAAATCACATTGCCTTGCTGCTCTTCTGCAACGATCGTCTGAAATGCTTTTAAAAGCGAGGCTGATGATCTCCGCGTGTGCTCGACCCTGCGCCGTCTGTGCGGCGTCTCGAGAAAATTAAGTACCGTCTCTCTGAGACACTCTGTCTCTCGCTCTTTCTGTCTCTTTCTCTCTTTCTATATCTCTCGCTCTTCAAATGTACATGACCATTTCTTGCGGACTTCCTCTGTCTGTCTATCTCCTGTGATCTCGAATACATCCGAGCTTCGCTTATCTTGAAAATTCACATTACCTTGCTGCTCTCCTACAACGATCGTCTGAAATGCTTTAAAAAACGAGGCTGATGGTCTACGCGTGTGCTCGACCCTGCGTCTCCTGAAAATTAAGTATAGTCTCTCTAAGACTCTCTGTCTCTCTCTCGCTCGCTCTTTCTGTCTCTCTCTCTCTTTCTATCTCTCTCGCTCTACACATGTACACGATCATCGGTGTAGAACTCCAATTCATTCTGGTCCTCACACTTCTAAATACAGGTCATCCTACTCCTCTAAGTCTGTGAAGAGCCACAACTCATTTTACTCCCAAACTCGAGTTTGTGTCATTATACTGTTCTAATTCGGATGAGTGAGATGCTCAACTCCAAGTGAAACTTTGACACAGTGTAATATATTACTCTGTTCTGGTGTTCCACATCTGGACACAGGAGATATATGTATTGAGGCAGCAGTACATATAACACAGTGGTAACAGATATATATACTGACTCAGAGGCGTATAACACAGTGTATACTCTGCTGTGGTGTTCCACATCTGGACACATCCGGACCACGAGAGGAGCGCAGCAGATATATGTACTGACTGTGCTCCTCGCCTCAGAGCTGATTTTACTCCTTGTTCGGATGTATCCGGATCTGGAATACTACACTAGACTATACACTGTGACATAAATTCGTTTCAAAATAGTACACACAATAATGTATTGTTTTAACGAATAACATGTTCTAGATAAGGTCATTCGGGATAGAAAGGGTCATTCCTTGGGAGAAGACTAAGTCCGTTTGAACTTATTCCGCTTTGTTTGAATCGAATTCATTTTATGACACTTACTGAATTTATCTTCTTCAAAACAACAATTTTTACTTTTAAAAGCAGGCAGGTGGAAGGTAGCAAAAAAACAATATTTTGCATCAACCCATGTAGATACAATCATCCTCCTTTACAAACATTATTCTACCTGCCTGCACAGACCTCAAGGCAAAACAAACAAGTGCAAAGGAAGCCAATGCAACCCGATATCCAAGTCAGATTTCACCATTCACACGCGAGCACTCATTCCTTTGCTTTTTCAATGAACATTCAATGAACAGGGTCAAGCAAGTGTGGGTCCACACATGTGTGAAGAGGAATCTAAGTCATTCTACTAACTGACGTTGAGTGAAGTTTAATCCGGCCCACTCAAGAAAGTCGGGTAATATTTCAATCAGAAGAAAATAATCGCCGTAGAGAAATATACGGCTCACAACTCCACAGGTTGTGTTTTTTTTCCTGAGTCACAGTTCGCGTCTTCCACCAAGTGTCCGATCACACCAAGGTTGGGTCGACTAAGATGTCTGAATGAGATAACCATCAAAGAGGGTGCTCCCATGACTCAGACCCACATTGCCTCAACATCCCGAACAGTCCTAACGCAATCCCAACTGCACCACGTGCTCCAAGGACACTTCCCCAACCAACAACAAGTCCATACCGCCTCAATCATCCGGTCCACTCACGATAACCACATGAACATGCCGACCCCGATCTCAACAACTAGTCCCACCTAGTCCCGAAATGGTCCCAGATGGTCCCATGCTACTGCCGCATCACTAGATGGT